TTATGATTATGATATTCTGTTTTAGTCTTTCCAGTTGTTACTGGTTTTGTCTCCAGTGCATCTACGCCAGGGGTAGGCAACCTTTCCCCTTTAAGGGCCGAGGGACTTCAGCTCCCAGAAGCCTCAGCCATATTGGCCAATAGTCCCATGTTGGCCAATAGCTCCTGGGATTCTGGGAGCTGAAGTACCTCGGCCCTTAAAGGGGAAAGGTTGCCTACCCCTGATCTACGCTGTAGAAATAATTCAGTTTGATACCACTTTAAGTACTATAGCTCTATCCCATTTGGCAGATTGGCCAAAAAATGGGATTTTTATTTTTGGACTGCAGTGCCCATCTTGCACCATTGCAGCCATAGCCCTCTCTGGCCTTATAACACCAAATCTTTTTTCTTGCCAAACTTTATTTATGTAATAGTTGCATTTTCATTCAGCTTCTCCTCCCAAGAGCCCAACAACAGCCCAACAGGTAGATCAAGTAAAAAAGAAGAGGCTTTGAAGGCCCTCCATTTTCCTGTTTCTGTGGGAAAACAGAGAGGCACTATGGTGCCATGGTGTGAGTGTTGGACCAGGATTCGAATCCCTGCTCAGGCCTGGTGGAAACCCCTGGGTGACCTTGGGCAAGTCACACTCTCTCAGACTCAGAGAAAGGCAAACTCCCTCTGAAAAACATCTTGTCAAGAAAACACTGGTAAGTTTCTCTTAGGCTGCATCCACATTGAAGAATTAATCTGGTTTGACAACTGCCATGGCTCAGTGCTATGGAACTCCAGGAATTGTAGTTCGTTGTGGCACCAGAGCAGATGAACACAGCAAACTACAATTCCCAAAATTCCATAGCAAGCTTGCAAGATTCCATAGCATTGAGCTATGGCAGTTAAAGTGGTGTCAAACTGGATTATTTCTGCACCCCCTAAGTCATAAATGACTTGAAGGCACACAACAGCTGCAGCAGCAAGGGACCAAAGTACTATCTCTCAAGTGCCAGACCAACATGCGCACTACTACACACTCTGCTGACCCTTGTGTGCTCTCGCACTCCCTCTGTCTCTTTTTATTGCACACTTATGGGGCTTCTGGGAACTCTTTTGATCCACAACATCTTCCTGTTTCAGCAGGAAACCACTGTTGCAACACTGGGGGTCACAATGACAAGGGAGGATGTGGCAGTGACGTCGTGGATTTGATTGCTTGACAAACTACGACAACAACACACCCTCCAACACGTGTGGCCAGGCAACGTCAGACTGTGGTCAAGGGGGCAAAAGTTATTAATAAAGATGAATAGGCAGGCAAGGAGAGTCTGCAGCAGTTTGCTTCTGCCTGAGCCTCCAGGGAAGGATAAGATTTCTTTGTTGAGTGCAAACTACCGTACTTGTGCATTTTGAACTCAGGCTGCATGTGCACTACAGAAATACACCAGGTTGACCCCATTTTAACTGCCACGGCTCAATGCTATGGAATTCTGGGAACTGAATTTTTATGAGACGTCAGAGAGGTCTGGTGCCACAACCAACTACAGTTCCCAGGATCCCATAGCACTGAGCCATGGCAGTTAAAGTGATGTCAAACTGGATTGTCTCTGTAGTGCGGATGCAGCCTCACTTTGCAGTCATTTCAGTGGGCTAAGCACGAAGGAGGAAAGTGAGATCTACTTATAGAGACAGGGACGTTGGAAAAACATTTGAGAAAGCAGGATGGCAAAGGATTAATCAGGAATCTTCCTGCCAGATTGAGACAGTTGGAGGATATGCAGCACAAGCGAATGCATGACTTTTCCGAAACAAGGGGTTATATTTTATTAATTAGTTACCAAACCACAAATCCCAGGATTCCAAAGGATGATGATGTCACGGCAGTTAAAGCGGAGAGAAAGTGCTGTAATTGCTTTGTGTGATGGAGACCTAAAACACAATCCAAAAGCGTTGTGCCTTTTTATTGATCCCAATTGGTGCATTATGCTGTCGGCAGGAAAGTCTGCATCCATAAAGTGAAGGCCTTGGAGATATTGTCTCCTCGAAGCCGGCAGATTTTGTCCAATTCGCGTCCACTGGGACGAATGCAGACACGCAATGTCACAGTGTGGTCAAAGGGGCAAAGGTTATTCATTTAAAACACACAAGCTAGGAGGATTAATTTTATTCAGATGGGCTTTTAAAACAGTCTTTAAAGAATGGGCTGAGGGTGTTGTACTCTTTTACAGTGTGCTGTTTTTAAAGTGCTTTCATCTTTTTAAAAATATATTTAATCTTTTAACAAATGATCTGTTTTAATATTGTAATAGTTGCATCATATTTTAATGCTCTCTTTTGTATGGTTTAATTGTCCTTTTTTTAATTGTATAGAATCATAGAATCATAGAATCATAGAGTTGGAAGAGACCGCA